TCATGTTTAAAAAACTCATTTGTTTCTAATTAAAATGAGAATGGCCGACGTAGAAAGCTCGAGTTTGCCGAGAGGGAAGTGCGCGGGCTGTCTCTGCTCGAAGGGTCTCATGTTCGGTTCTCGCCTTCAACAGGGTCTCCCTGTTTGTCCACTCATCTTGCGTAATTTTCCTTTATCCCGTAATTTACGTAAGCGGTTTACAACTGTAGTTCGAACTGTGAAGACTCCTCTGGACTGTGTTCCTATCATGGAAACAAGAGGCAAAACGGATTTAGAATCCTCACTAATACCCAATGTGTATGATTAGCAAAACTAATATGACTAGCCTTCGGCTTCAGGCAACTGAATCACTAGTTTGACGAAAAGAGGAAGGAAGCAAATCCCGTTGTTACGTACATGTGTAATTGCGTATGTTGGCTGCCCCGTTTTACTTACCGCGAGGTTACTTGGCTGAGAGAAATCCATTCAGTGTCTGAGTGAATATGGGTTTGATACGTGTCTTTCGAAATTACGTAAGAGCACTATAGATCTAATCTCTCAAGGATTGACTTCTTATGTTTCAAATGTTACAACACGTTCTAGAGTATCATTCGTTCAATAATCGTGAAACATTCTTCTGAAATTCAAAAGTCCCAAAAGGGGTTGGCCGTGGCCCCGTCGACAGAATACGATGTATTAGGTCACGGGATAATTTATCGTTACCTGAGTTCAGATCTACGTATATCTCTCGAAGAACATACGGAGAATTTCGGTATCCGAGTTGGTGAAATGGGAGCCTATTTATGAGGTAGTAATGATGGTGGTGGTGGTGGTGCTGGTGCTGGTAAGTAAAGGAAAACTAAAAGGAGTATAATCGACGGAAAATGAATTAGGGAAGGAGGCTATTGTGGAAAATGGATAAGACAGACGATGAAAGACAGTTGGTGTGGGGAGTAAAAACGATAAAGATTTTCTTAGGCAATTGGTTACTCACAATTGCAATAGATGCCTGTAAATACTAACATAAATATAACGGCGATGCTAATTCAATTGTAACTGCGCAATGATAATGCAAAACCAGGTATGCCTTCATCGGTCCAACTCCACTTCGCATTTTACGAACATTGCCTCTTCCTTCGTTACATCGATGTAATTGAAGAAGTTAGGTTCTCGGAAAGCAAGTCTGGCATCCGAATGGGACGTGTGCCGCGAGGCGCCTCTTCCAAACTGCGACTAGGAAGTGGCTGGGCGGCGAGGGCGTTGGCGCGGGAACTGCATGTTTAATAGCGTCGGCGCGGCTTAATACGGAAGTGGCCGACATCTGCCCAGTGGCGGCTGCCCGCGGGGACAGCAAGTGGCTGGGCCGCGCCGCCAGGCCCCAATTCGCAGCGCGACGCGGCGAACCCTTGCGCTAGGCGTTCGCCTCTCTAACTGGTGGGGAGCTGGTGCGCCGAAACAACGCTGCTTCTGCCTCTTCCCCCCCTTCTCTCTTCTTTCCCTTCTTTTCCCCATTCTTTGCCTTCTTTTCCCCATTCTCCCTTCTTTCGCTCTTTCTCCCATCTTTTACCCTTTCTCCCATCTTTTACCCTTTCTCCCATCTTTTACCCTTTCTCCCATCTTCTACCCTTTCTCCCTTCTTTCACCCTTTCTCCCTTCTTTCACCCTTTCCCCCTTCTTTCACCCTTTCTCCCTTCTTTCACCCTTTCTCCCTTCTTTCACCCTTTCTCCCATCTTTCACCCTTTCTCCCTTCTTTCACCCTTCCTCCCATCTTTCACCCTTTCTCCCTTCTTTCGCCCTTTCTCCCTTCTTTCGCCCTTTCTCCCATCTTTCGCCCTTTCTCCCATCTTTCGCCCTTTCTCCCATCTTTCGCCCTTTCTCCCTTCTTTCCCCCTTTCTCCCTTCTTCCCCTACCTCTCCTATGACATTTTATTTTCTACCTTACCACGTGCGTAATAAATTAATTTTTGAGAGTATTTCTAAGATTTAAAAATTTAAGATAAGAATTTATACTTAACGAAATCTGTTCAAAGATGTATCTTGAAATAAGGTCATATACAAGTTGTTGGAAATGTGAATAGTTAGCGCGAAATACAGTCAATTGTAAAACAATTATTTTCTAAAACACGACTCAATTGTTTTTGCCGATGTATGAAACAAAGAACGGTATAGGCCAGAAAGTGGTGATGTCATATTTTCTGTGTTTTCGAAAATTGCAACAAAAAAAAATATTGGTGATGGATTTTTTCTTGCATAAAATCGGTTCTAAAAATTTGATCCCCCCCGCTGCTCCGCCACGCCCGTCTGCCCGGCTCCTGCCCTTCTCAGCGCGTCCCATGCCGCGCCGCGCTGCCCGCATGGCCCACGTTTTTTAAGGCCCGTTCTGTCAGGGTCTTGACGTAACCAACTGGAAGGCGGCGCGGCGCGGCGGTGGCCGTGGCCTTAGCGCGGAGGCAGCGCGAGCGGCGACGGCCGCCGAAGGCAGCGGACGGGAACCTCGACCCTGGGCGCGCTCCTCGCCTCCGAGCCGAGGCCGCCCGGCCGGGCCACGCCGCGCTCGTCTCCGCCGCGCTCGCAGTCTGCGGCCCGCCCTAGGACACTGTTTGCTCCACGGAATGCATCGCGTGGGTAGACCTATGGGGAGGGGGCGACGCATTTGAATTGTCAGTAGGTACACACTGTTGTCTGTGGTTACATTCAATAGGTGCTAACTTCGGTGCATTTGAAAAATTCATGTAGCGATCCTTCGAAAAATCAGGAGACGTTCTCCAGCCAAGCTGTTGTTAGCTGGAGTTGCTTTTCGTGGGCTACAATCATGCTCATTATCCATTGGATGGTGGTCCCTTCAAGTGCAGTACGTACGAGTTTATAATAACCAGCTGCTTGCGTGGCCCATTCATAGTTACTCTGTTACTGATGAGTAAATCAACTAGTTAATTTTTTTTTTTAATCCCGACTGTTCCATTAAGAACTAGTAATTGTAAGGGTATTGTCCTTTTTGACAGTATATCAACAGTTATGAGTCTTACTAATATGAGCTTAGCATTTCGAGGGACTGCATTCCACGGGTGATTAGTGTTGTTTATCAACGAAGAATATGCTCTACTTTTCCTTTCGTATACAGACTCGTATAATCGTAAGGGAAAGTGGAAGACTTCGACGGCAGGTGGTTCGGTTCTACCTAGGATAAGGCGAATACATGAGATTCATTAATCTTTCTTGCAAGTTGATTAATGCTCAAAACAATTTTCGGGAGGAAATCAACTCGTAAATAAATGATTTATAATTCGGAGGTAATGTTTAATATAAATTTCGAGGAAAGAAGATAGTCTATCAAGTTAAAAAAAATTACATAACGTTTAAAATTCCACTCCCTTTTATCCATTCTTTCTTTTCTACATAATTTAGATGAGAAGTCTCAAAGGTCCGAAACATACTAGTACTTACCTACTCCTTATGAATAAACGTTTTTATTTCACATTCCCAGTTGTTTGTATAGAAATAGAAATGGTATAATCATTAGTTCTGTAACTTAAAAAATAATAGAATATTGACATTGCTGTTTGAAGAAATGTGGTACCTCAGAAAGTAGATTAAGACATAATTATTCTGTAACTGTATGTGGTATCCCGGGCCATTTTCTACAAAAATTAAAACATGATTATTTAGTAATTGTACTGGGTACCATTAGTCATTGACACTTCAAGCAATCTCTGTCATTAGATTTAATTATTGTATTTTAAATCGTTCTCCTCATCGCACATAACGCAAAGCCAAAAGCGCCCGCCCGCGGTAGATGTGCAAGGCTTCGTAGTGCTTTGTCTGGCGGACGCTCGCAGATCCGATCCTGCTCAGGTCACGGAGGCGTCCTCGCCGCGGACTCTGGCCTCTGGCGGCGGCGGCCGGGCGGCTGGCGCGCGCACGTGGCCGCAGCGGCGACAGACAATGCAGCAGGCGAGTAGCGATGGCCAGTGGCCGCCACTTGCCGTGACTGGGCCAGACCAGGCTGGCCTTGGGAGGGCACAGAACGCGGAGCGGCGGCGGCGGCCGCGGCAGCCTCCGGCCTAGGTCGTCGCGCCGCCGCGGCCGACACCACCGCGCTCTCGCGCCCATCTTTTCCCACGGCCGCGCGCGCCGCGGCGCGGCGCTCGCTTCGGCGAACAAAGAACAACGGCGCGCGCCCGGGCCGGTTCCGAGCCGCAACCGGCCACCGGCTGGTCGCCTCGCCTCGCGCCGCCCCCGCCCGAGGCGTTTCCGAACAAATATTTGCGTTTTCGTCCCGCGCGCTTTGTCGGGAAACGCGGCTGCTGTAAAACGCCGTCGTCGGTGCACTGCTCGTCTTAAGGTTATTGGACTTCTACGCACTTCTGCGATTTCATCAGCAGTGCCGTCAAATCATATCGGTAGCGCGTTTGGGGGTGCAAATGATAGTTTATAGTAATTTATTGGAGCGAACATTTTGTGCTATCAAATGTTGCCAACAAAGCACATTGCTACGATTATTGATATTCCGAAATGCTAGTAAAAGAGGACGGGTAGGGATTCCGAAGCCTATGAAAACGTGCTCCTCCTCTGCTTCCCCCTTCAGTCAATTTTGTTAAATATTTCAGGGATATTTTTATAAAAAAGCTGTTTCTGTAATATATTATGTCTAAACGTAAATTAGTAGCATTGTTTAAAATATAATTTACGCCACATCCCTTACTCAGTATAATTTTCCAAAGGGTACATTATAATTGCTGACCATTTTCCAAAATACATATAAATCAAATTTAAATTTCGTTCCGGCAAGTGAATGTCCGGCAGTTTAGACATCCGTATCGTAACATGAATACAGCGATTCAACCAATAAAATATTTGACAATGCGATTTTCTGATGAATACACCCACTCGACGTGACCATGAAAATAAATCTATGAAGGGAAATTATTTTTAATGATAAAACAATTATTATTTTACTTATAAACAAAATTAATCCGCGAGATATTTATTGTTTCAAGGTTTTGAAGTTGTTAGACAGTCAATGTTGCAAGTCAACTTGTTAAAAAAGTTAGTGCTAACATTTATTGTATTATTTCAAACTTTTATGATGTGTATAGCCCATTTAACGAAGTTAATCAAGTGGGAATTCTACCTAGAATGGTATATCGTGATTGTTGAAGAGTTCGAGAGTCTCCTCTTTTCTTTTTCTTTCTTTCTATTGCTCACTCCTTAAAAGTCTCAAGAAATTTACTGTATCTTGCATTTTGCACACAAATATTGTGTTGTTTATAATTCATAGTAAGAGTTCCCTAAATTGATTGTTGAAAAGTCTTCTGGGAACACTTGAAAAAAGAGAAAAAAAATTCCGTTTCTCCTCTTTTTATTATTCTCTGCTCCGTATCATCATTGTTCTCTTGGCTTCCATGCCTCCAGTAATACATTCAATCCCTGTTTAAGGCAGTTCAACTGACTATACATTTCAGTTCATGAATGCCGTATTTTGCTACATAATATTATCTTGTTTGATTATTTTAATAACATTCAATGTTGAGTCTCATTTTTCAAGGTGACGTATTTTCACACAAGAGGTGTTAAAAAAGCGCCTAAAAGTTCAAATTTAAAAATAATAAACATAGAAAACTTGCAATGTTCTCTAAAAAGTAGTATTACAAGAAATACCTCTTGAATTGGAAATGAAGTGTAAGATATGGAATATATCTTTGTAACATTTTCTTGACAAAAGATAATGACAGATTTTTTTTTAAATTTCCCTGCAAAAAGAACATTTTTCTTGACTCTCTGTTTAGATATGTCATTACAGAACTCCTTCAAAGTGATCTCCACAAAATTATCGTGTCACCACAGCACTTGTCTGCGGACCACATTAAAGTCTTCCTGTACCAGATCCTTCGAGGTATGTTCTTTTATTACATACATGTGGCTATAATTATTTTTATTAGATAGTTTTATTGGATTTAAACATCTAGTTAAATAATGTTGAGAGTTTTATAGACAAATGGAAAATTAAATTTCTAATTTAATTTAGTACAGCATATACTCCATAATAATTTATTATTATTTCTGTGTTTTAGGATTGAAATATTTACATTCAGCACGAATTTTGCATCGTGATATTAAGCCTGGGAATTTATTGGTAAACAGCAATTGTGTTCTAAAGGTAATAAAATTGAAACTTACTTCTTTATGAATAATATCAAATTTACTTTTAAAAATAGTAATATTAATGATGATCTTAATTAAGATGTTGTTTATTGTTATTCATCATGTATTAATAGTACTGTACATTATTATTTTCAGATCTGTGACTTTGGATTAGCGAGAGTGGAGGAGCCAGACCAGTCCAAATACATGACGCAAGAAGTAGTTACTCAGTACTACAGAGCTCCTGAAATTTTGATGGGTGCGCGGCACTATTCTGCAGCTGTAGATGTATGGAGTGTTGGCTGTATATTTGGGGAGCTCTTAGGAAGGCGTATCCTATTCCAAGCCCAGAGTCCTGTTCAGCAGGTTCGAAGTTTTGAGATTTTAATAACACTTTGGTCAATTACAGACTTACTTCAATATATTATTGAAATATTAAGGTTTGTTTTACTAGCAACTGCTCTCAAATGAAATTTTCTTATATAATGTTTTATTGAAAAATGTAATGTTTTGTTGTGAGAATTTGAGATTGAGGTAGTTCATGTGATGTTGTCATAAAGTAAGAATTTTAACTAAATTTGTATATCAGAAGGTGCAAATTAATAGTTCAACTCCTTAATATTTTTTTATTAAAAAAAATCAATTTTATGGTTCAAATAATGAGAGTGAAATTGATGCAATCTGTGATTTCAACCCTTATCTTTCCAATCAATTCCTTTAATTTTGTGAATTGCTGTCACTTATTTAATTTATCAAATGCATCATCTTTTCAAAGATTTATCTAAAAACATTGAACATGAGTAAATAGTAGTTTCACTAAGATATATAATTTGTTTAGTAGTAAATATTTTTATGAAATGAAGTTACCACTTCAAAATACTACCATGGGTAAATACATCTATATATTTAAAAATATCTACTACCACAGCTTTGTGAATGATCAGAAAGTAAGAAATATTACAAAATAAGAGATAATTCCCAAGTACCTTCAAATGAAAATTAAGTATGAACTGGAACAACAAATCTGTATTCAGAGCTAGATATTCACTGAGATTTAATGACTTGTTTCAATGGTAGGGTATTGTATGTAACTAATGACAAATTTTGTTTTGTTTTGTATAGCTGGAACTGATCACTGAGCTGCTGGGGACGCCCTCTCTAGAGGATATGCGGTACGCATGTGACGGGGCTCGATCACACATGCTCAGACGGGCACCGAAACCTCCTTCCCTTACTGCTCTCTACACACTCTCATCACAGGCCACTCATGAAGCTGTTCACCTACTCTGCCAAATGCTAGTGTTTGACCCTGTGAGTATACTATTTAAGGACATGTCTACATCGGATAATTGAATGCTATTGATGTTATGGTTGTATTGAAGGGCAGTAAAGGAGACAATATAACACAAAGAAGTAAGAACAGCACAGCCTAAATACTACCAGCCTTAAAAAGATATTGAAGCTATCTGCAATATGACTTGTGCGATGTCTTCACCAAAATATTATTGTGTTACATTGTCTCATTACATAATTAGGCCATTAAAATTTGTATCAATTAGGACACATTTATTCAAATGTTTGATCTAGTTGTAAAAAAATTTTCACCTTAGCGTAAATATTAAATAATATGGCTGGGATGTTTGAGAACTTTCTTCAGAAGTATGCAGATATTGTAAACTAAATATTATAATGTTATCTTTCTTCAAATAGGACAAGAGACTGACTGTGGTGGATGCATTGGCTCATCCATACTTGGACGAAGGACGTCTGCGCTATCACTCTTGTATGTGTAAATGTTGTTTCACATCTGGTGGTATGAGGCAGTACATAACAGATTTTGAACCCATTGCACCTTATGCATTTGATGATCTCTGGGAGAAGAAGCTGACGTCTGTTCAACAAGTTAAAGGTAGTGTAACTTCATTTTGATCGCCTTTTTTTCAAATGAGGTTCTTAAATTGCAATTATGATTTATTTGAATTTAATTACGATTATGAGCAACTGCCATGAAAAATGGTAAATTAATGTTCTGGAAGTTTGCAGAGGCTTTTCTTTTATTAAAAGCTTTGGAAAATTCTTCAGTAATCTTATTATTGCATCATTGTATTATTCTGTTAATTATTTCTTGATGTTACAACCAGTTTTTTTCTTCTCTTTGTTTGCAGAGGAAATGCACAAGTTCATTGCAGAACAACTGAATACCAGTAGGGTCCCGTTGTGCATTAATCCTCAGTCTGCAGCTTTCAAGAGCTTTGCCAGGTAAGGCTGCAGAACATTCAGGAAGAAATATTGGCTGCTGAAGATTCTCACTCTCTAACTCATCCCCTCCCTAAACAATGTCCACTAGCAAGTTGAGACATGCTCCGGACATATAGAGGGTATAGCTTTCTTCTACTTATCTACATAACCGGTGCACTCAATGCTCGATCAGCACTTAATCATGAGGCAGCACACGATTTGAGCTAAGGGTTTGGAGTGGGTTTCATTCTGCAAGACGTGTAGTTTGTTTTTGTTTTAACCAGATTGATTTTTTTTTATTGCTTTTTTGTATTTTTTGTTCTTTGCCAAGTTGAATCGAGGGTTGAATGAGCTGTTTTTATATTCAAAACTTTTTTCAATTTGTTTGTGAATGATGAATTGTTTTATAATTTAGTGGAAAAGAGATAATTAGAGAGCATCCTTGTGAACCAATTAATGCAACTCTTTTAACATGGATTTTTTTCATGTTTTAGCTCTACAGTTGCTCACCCATCTGAGCTACCCCCGTCGCCCCACCAGTGGGAGTGACGCTATCCTCACCCTAGTATGCAATTGTGAAAATGTCTAGCACTCACTCATTTTCACCTGGCCATTGGTTGCTTATCTTCTGTACGCAGCCATCCTTTTGGGTATGGTTGGAGTCCTTTGCCACATCATAACATACCAAAAGTTTTGCCACAAGAACTAATGTTATGCAACTAACACCTGGTCTTCAGAGAACTTCATTACTGAATCAGAAGGAAAAAAAAGAAAAAAGTTTACGCTTTTCATCATGTTACCATCAGAATAACTAACATAGCCTCAACCTCTTACAAGTTGTACATAATCCGTAAAAGTGACATGAATTTGAATAGAGTGCATGTGTGTGTGTATGTGCCGCATGTTTTTGACATGCAATTTGACTTTTGGAGTTCTTAAATGTGCTCTGAAATATAACTGTGCGTGACGATAAAATAAATACATTTTGTGTTTTGTGAATATTGCAGCAGTTTATTTTTAAAAAGAAAAGAGTTGAATTCACAGAACAAACATGAGCCTTTGTGAATCAATATCTAGTTTCACATTCTGTGGTGTGGAAGAATTTGGTGACAGAATGCGAGACGTGTTTGAGAGAAGAAGTATTCTCACCTCATGTCAGTGTTGTGTTCCAGTAAACAACGAAGATGTACAGAAGTGTAGGTGCTGAACAAGATTGTAACATTTGTGCAATCAGCGCATATGCTGAAGAAGATACGAATGCGTTGTGCACAGAATTGACTTCAATAAGCAAGAGCACATGTGATACATCGTAGAGGCAATTGGAATGCGGAAAACTTGCCTTGTACACAATACATTTGAATTCAGGGAATGCTGAGGTAACTCAACATATTCAAAAAAGGCTGCTGCCTGTGACATTTTGACAAGATTTGTTTGCCAGTTTTCCCAGCGACTAGAGCATACTGTGATCCTTGGATGAGTTAATTTGGAGAACCCCGGTACTGCCATCCATTTCCCATTCCTTTTCATATCCTTTGGTTTTTAATTAATCTTTTAATATCCTAGTATTTTTCATTGAAAATTAGTGTTTTAGTAATCAGACATTAACCTCATTCAGATGATGGATACAGCAAGGCTCCTTACTAAATTATTTTTTGAAGTACAATTGTGTAACATTCTTAATAGGGCCTTTAACCTTACCTGTGCAATAGCAAATAATAGTATTGCTAATATTGTGTGGCATTTCTATAATTCAGATTTTCTAATAACTATTCAAACTATGGGTTAAAATGTGTTTTAAAATCAGCTACAATAAACTGTAGTCAGGAGTATCTGTGATGTATATTAACAGTGTGAAGTTGTGTTCTTATTGCTTCAAGACAGAATTTATGTGCATAATGCATATCTAAAGTAATTGATTGTTAAGAATTGATTCATTATCACTGTGCAACATTTAACAAACCATGGTGCCAAACGGCATGTTGTCAGTGGTTGCTCATTTATACAAAAGAGGCTTACAAACTTACTTCCATGAAGATTTATCTTGATGGCTAAACCATATTCAAATGTAAATAGAATTGAATTTCCAATTTATATGTGTTTAGATTAAGAGTTAGAGGATCCACCGAGATAATGTTTTGAATAGGAAACAATTCTTTCTTCATGTTAAAATACAAGAATAGGGTATGGTTTTAGGATTGGCAAAAATTTTAAACATATTGTAAATATTTTATTGTGGAAATATATACATTATTCTACAAAAGATAATAGCTTTAAATGCTTGCCACTGTTCAAAAATTTTATTTTGGGAATGGGAAAATGATGTAAGTGTAGTTCTTTCCAAAGTTCAGTCTATTTCATATCTTGCATTAAAAAGTAAATATCTTTAATTTGTTATTCTTTGTAGAAGAGTGACCTAAACTGGGACCAAAAAGCATTGGATAAAATTTTGTAGATTAATAGGAGAGTATAGATATCTATTTCATTCTTCAAACAAAAAAAAAAAATATCTGGATAATAGGAGTCATGTTGTATCTTGATCTGAAGTGCATAGAAATAAATAAAAAAAATTGTCTAAAAATCATTTTAAACGAAATATAATGTATTCTGAGGACTTCCACCGATCTCATTATTAACAACATAGTCAAGTATGTAAAAATGTGTGTTTTTAATTATAATTCACGTTAAGTATCTCCTATTATATTAATAGTAGTAAAATATTTTGAAGCAATGTCATATTTCCTAAAGATCAAATGAGATCAGAGGAAGTGGACATTGTTGACTGAGTATGGGTAGATTTGCAACCTGTCAGTGATTTGTTTGTATGTTTGGTGAATTTTTGCCTATAATGCCCATTTGGTGAAAGTGCATGGACATAATGGTTTCTAAAAATGCATTTCAAGCATTTATATTTGAACGTATGTATGATATCTGTGCATACTAATCTCCATAAAATATATATTGTAGTTTACTTCCTTTTGTTTTCATGTTGGTAGTTTAGTGAGAAATTTCAGGAGAAATCCAACTTCATTGACAAAATTATTCTAGTTTACTGAAGTACCTATAGTTTAATGAGAAATCAGTAGCAATCTGTCCTACTTTCAACTGGGCATTGATTAAAACAAATAATGTGTGTTTTGGAATTAGAAAGTCTGGGTAAGATAAGTTTTCTTCATAAAGTAGCCTGTCAGTGTGAGAAACATAGGAGTCTAGAACGAATCTGTACAGTCACTGTATATTGTAGCTTTCCATTTTCCTGCGACAGGTGCCTAGACAAAATATTTCAGTGTGCTTGACAGACATTTTCCCTTGTAACTTGTCAGTGTGTGTGGTGCTAGTTCAATTATGTAATTTCTTGTGTAATAATGGTTTGTTTTCCTTTCTGGATGACTGGGATTTTATTTAAACAAACAATTATTACGTTATTTATTTTAGTTCACTGAATGCAAACTATTGTAGGGGCTTGAGCCTTATGAATTAAACAATCTTTTTAATGAGTAGCTGACACTAAATTATTTTGTGATACCACTCAGCAAGTTGTTCACATAACAACAAATTGAAAAAAATTGAGTTTTACTGTTTACTCACTCATGAGGCCTTAACTAAGATCCACGTTCTGTGTATATTTCCCTGCATAAGATCCTTCCATACACATGTACTACTAAAATGTGTGTGAAATTGTGTATGTCTCTTGCTTCAGAAAAAAATGAAAGTTAGCTAGCAAGTATTCAAATTCGATGTTTCCATTGCTGCCAAAGGAATAATTGTAAATCAATCAGTTCTCATTCCCTAATTATAATTAGAGTAGGTCAATATCTGTTTGACGGATGTTAAACAGTTAAACAGGGCATAGTGTTATCACTGGAGATGTAGTTTTAATTTGTCACCAATCACTGCCATTTATATCTGGTCTTTGGATCACTCTGTCCTTCTTTGGGGTTAAATAATTCCCTGGACTGAAGGAAATGCATTCCTTTTCCACATGACTTCATTATAAGTATGCGTATTTGAATTGGTTGTTATTTTGGCATGTATTTAGGTATTACATATTCACTTTCAGTTGTATTATCAATGGGGTTTATTTATAATCTGACGAAGTAAACTGCCTTAATCTACAGTTTTTATAATTGTAGACAAAGATGGCCATTGTTACATTAAGAATGAGTTTGCTTATTGAAAGTTGGTATGTTCAACTTAACTATTATGTTCTGTGGAAAGGTACAAAAATATTAGATGTAGCAATCTCTGGAGCTGCAATTGCCATGTGATGAACATTCTTTCAAGTCATTTCAATTTTTTTCTTGTGATATATGAAAGATCAGGGATTTACTTGTTTCCCTTAACAGTGGAGGTATGTGAATGGCAATTGTATTGGCTGTGTTAGGTCATGGTTTTAAAACCCATTGATAGAATTATTTACAAAGTAATAGAAAATACTCTTTCTATTACAGTATTGATAACTTAGATGTATTCATACAGAAAAAAAAAGAACATAAAAATTGATTTATGCATAATCTGAAGTAAATATACCAATTTTCTTTGGCATTTGTTGTCACAAGACATTGCTCACATCTTCCTGCTCGTGAAAAATTGTAGTTCACGATGTGTTTAAACTATGAATTAAGACTTTTGCTCATCTCAGTCATTATTGTCATTTGTAACACTCATATTTATTGAGTGCTTGGGTAGTGAACAGCACCAAACTGTTTCCTGCCTTTATTCTGTACATATTGTAATATAGTCAAGTAATGATGTGTGTGTAGGGTGAGGGTTTTTGTATCACAATCTGCAAGAATCATCTTACTTAGATAGTAATATACTCTATTTATTGTGTGTCCTTAAGATGTTTCTTGCAGATTTCATTTTTTAATACTTTAGATTTAAAATACCATATTGCTACTATTATTGTAGTAGAGAAGTGGGTAGTGATCAGAGGTGAGGCCAGTTGCTGTAGTTTTTGTCCCATTTTCGCAAGGGGTGCTTGTGATTTTGTTGTGTCATCAGCTTCAGACACCAAGCAACCTTAGAATGGGTCTGCACTGGCAGCTGGAGTACTGTTGTATTGATTTCTTTCTCTTTTATATATACACACTTTTACATATATGTATATGGAAGTGTTTGCCTATGATTGTGATTCTATGTTATTCTTTTTATATTAAATGTAGTAATAGTTGCTCATTTATCACATGATCAAGTCCTAGTCTTACATCAACACATAAGTTAGTGTATTAGAAGCACAATTTATTCTGATTCACATTCATTCACATTAACTACATCTTGATGCAATACAAAGAGGTATTCCAGCTATCAGTACAGTTGTAAAAATGTGCATTTCAGAAATTTCCATATGTGATTGAATTAATACAACTTGTTACAAATCCTTTGCTTCCATTAACTATGTTGCTGGCAGCATCCATGTCCACTGGGAAAGTGTAAACATTTGCTATGCATTCAAGTAATAAATCATAATAATATTGCACTGTCAAATGTAATATATACAGTTGTAGATATATTTTTTTTATTCACCAAAAGTCTTAATCAGCAGAGACATGATCACAAAATAAATAAAATATGATCAGTATGTTTTTAAACTTCACAGCTCTTGTCCATCTTTAGGGTAGCACTTTTATATCTAACTTTCTTTAAACTTTGTGTTTTAGAATTAGTCAAATTGTGTAAATATATTTCTATTAATTTTAACAATGAGGAATGTATTAACTTTGGAGTGTCAAGTGCTGTTCATTTCAGTTAATTCAAATGTTTTTAAATGATGCTCACATACAAGTTTATTCTGTGCACAGTTACCTCTCAGGTGTATGCATTAGATATTAGCAAGTCATATTTAGTAAATGTGTATTCTTCATGTACAATCAGTTAATATCTTACTAGTTATTCGCTGTTTTTGCATTTATTTTCTCTTACAATAAAAACTGAATTTTAGATAAAATGTACCTTATTTCAAAATGTAAATAAAATATAAGCTCTTGCCATTATTTGGGTACAGTAATTGAATGAAATTACAACCATGATTTATGAATGAATTTTTCATTATCAAATTTTGATGACTGTTTATTTTTCACTAAAACATTCCATTTTATTGTTTTCTAATACATTATTGTGGATTAGAAGCATTGTTCAATTATCCTCATGAGGTACTGTGTTTTGAGTAGTGCGAAAATTATTCTGCTTTCATTTCTGCAGCGAAATTATACAGTGACAGTTATCTCCAAAAAAGAAAATAAACCGTCCAGAGCTGGTTTCATATCCAAGAATTTGGAAGTGATTGTACATGCATTACCAAACCAAAAATATTGCCTTAGTTGTGAAACCTGTCTGATTATTGTTTGTCTCTGCTTGATTGATACATTAGTCACAAAGAAATTTAGTCCTCCATTGAGATGTGGTCTTAATAAAGAAACAAGTTGCCAATGTGTAAACACCAGATTCCAGTGTGGTAACACACTAGGTAAAGTATTTAGAATGAAATATTATGTGTGTGTGTGTGTGGATAAACCAGTGACTTAGTGGGCACAAGTGATGTGTCTTTGTAATACCTCATAATTTGGTGTATGCATTCAAAAGCAAGGCACAACAAAATCTATGTCCAGTAGGCTAGTAGGAAGAAAACTGTTGTAATTAGTTCCTGTTGTGGTGAAGTAGTGCAATATGAATTTGTATAATGTTCCTTTGTGGCGGCTGGTTATTGAAATAGTGGTTTCAGATAATCCGTTTTTTGTTGCTTCTTATTATTCAATTCATATGTATAATATTTTGCTTACATTCTTCTAAAAATTAGTTTCTTATTTTATGCTTCATGACTGCTTTCACTTACTAAAAATTAATGATAGTTGTTAATAATAATGAGTTTTTCAATCTTCACATTTCTGATAAATCTTTTCTCCTTCTCCAAAAGAAAGGTTGGCATTAAAAGCAACCGTGCCTTTTAATTGGCAATGTGTTTTTCTTAAGAATGATTATTGTGAGTGTTGTGCATACTGATATTCGTTTCTGCTGACCAATGATTATAATGCAATAATTTTTGTCCATGTTAGAGAGATTGCAGACAATTACAAAGACATCAAACACAACAAATATTTCTTCCTACTAGCATCACAATCTCCTCCTATTGTGGTAGTCTTGGTTGTGTGTGAGGTGGCCTTGTGTTTTTTGGGGAGAGTAGTGTTTGTGTCTCCCTTGACAATGTGAATGCTTTTTAGCATAAAGGCCAAGCAAATTGGTTCTAAATGTTTTTGCACATGGTCAGTTGTATTATAGATCTTTCTCCCCTCATTTGTAGGAGGCCCAGTGGGAAATAATAAAAACAAACCACAAACAAAACTGTATTCCTTATTTCATTATTCCTTACCCTGTTATTTCACTAAAATTATGCTTTGAACTTATATTACTGGAATGAAGCTTAAGGAAACATTACATGAAAATAATGTCTTTAAGGTGGGATGTTATACAATACAATGGTGAAAATGTTAGTGAATGAAGGACGGAATATTTTATTATTTGATGTTTCAAATTAATAAAAATAATTTATTCACCTTTCAATTAAACATAGCTGTGTTAAAATTATTTTAAATAAATATTTGAATAAATTTGATAGTCGGAATGAACATTCGTGATTAGAGATGGTAGTACTTTAATATTTTCAAACTGCCGCTATATAGTGACCGTAATATATTTTGCTTTGCTTAAAATAAATTTGTATTAGAAGTAATAGTTTTTAATTCGTTCTCGCCACATATCTATTAGTGGGCAAGACTTCTCTGAACTCTGCAGTGATCATCGCGCAACCACGAGAAGGATCTGGGCTCGCGTGCCGAGTACTGATTGCGCTCGATATGAGGAAGCGTAATTACCTCGGAATTAGGAAACATCTTCAAAACGCAAAAGAAAGAGGGGGAAAAAATCTCGGCAACGTCGAGTTCCTCTCACGCCGCAAAGTTTCAATCGCTTGAGAAGGAGAGAGAGAAACGGAGCTGGGGTCAGTAGTAGTAGGCAGGAAAACGAGTGGGAGAACTTGCCTGCGAGCACCTACTCGTCGGAGGGCCGGCGGTCGCGCCACCGCCGCCGCCGCCTCAGACACGCCACTCGCAATGAGCACGGCCGCAGCAGCGGCAGCGGCAGTGGCAGTGGCGCGAACGGTGCACGTCGCCCGGTCGGCGAATGCTTCGTCAGCGCCAGGTCAAAGTAACGACTTCCGATAGCGGCGCGCGTGTGCTACGCGGACTGCGTGCAACTCGCCCGGACGCCCACCTGCACGCGCGTCGAAGCGGAGTGCGTTCTTCCTGCGAGCTGCTGCCCACGCACCGACCAGGTACGACCGTCGCCACGCACGCTGTGGTGCGTCGCGCGTTTACTCGAGCGAAACACCGGCGGGAGAGCTCATTCATGAGCGCGTCCTCGCTGCCGAAGGCCGAGGTTGCGGACACTTCCGCTAATGCTGTAGTGATTCGTCCTGTCAAAGGCACGGAGGTATTGGAATACACGCTTTGAGATCTAAACACAAATGCCGCCCTAGTGACCTTAATTCTTTCACGTGCCAGCATGCTATATTCCACCTATTTCATAGTAACGCGCTGTCAATATTTTGACATCCAGGTGAAAAGTGAATTACGTTTCCATTGCTGCCAACATGAACGATACGTAATCAAGTGACAAAGTGGTA